ATGGATGGATGATGGATGGATGATGGATGGATGGATGATGGATGGAGGATGGATGGATGGATGGATGGATGGATGGATGGATGGATGATGGATGGATGATGGATGGATGATGGATGGATGAGTGTATGATGGATGGATGGATGGATGGATGGGTGGATGATGGATGGATGGATGATGGATGGGTGGATGATGGATGGATGGATGATGGATGGATGATGGATGGATGGATGGATGATGGATGGATGGATGGATGGATGGGTGGATGGATGGATGGATGGATGATGGATGGATGGGTGGGTGGATGGATGGATGGATGGATGGGTGGATGGATGATGGATGGATGAGTGTATGATGGATGGATGATGGTCAGACATGTGAATAAATGTTGAGGATGGAAGATGAATGAAAAGATAGGTGGATGATAGGTGGGTGATTGATGGATCATGAATCATTGAATGACTGATGGGTGGATGACTGATGGCTCAGAATGGATGGAGGAATAGAAGAGTACATGAATGGACATTGATGAATGAGTGGATGGATACATATATGAGTAGATGACTAGGTAGAGGGATGAATGAGTGGATGATGGTTACATGGAGAGATGGACAAATGGATGAGCAGAGGGAGGGGTGAATAGACCAGAGGAGGGAGAAGCTGGAGGTCAGCAGTCCAGTTCCAAGGCTGCTGCTGTGTGAGAGGTGATGAGGGCCTGCATTAATGGCAGTAGCCTGGAGGTGAGGTGGAGAGTGGGCATAGACATGTGTGGGAAACATTCAGGAGATATGATCCAAGGACTTGAACATGGACTGACAAAAAAGGAAAGAGGTGTCTCCCAAGCCATGCAGCTGGACATGAGCTTGAGTAGAGGCTTCTTGTGGAGTGCCATCAAGTCGGAGCTGACTCAGCTGACTCTCCGGTGGGTTTTCAGAGACGCTAGCTCACATGGGCGCACGCTGCTCACCCTCCTCCCACAGCACAGCTGGTGCTCTCAAACCACACGCCTTTTGTGGGCAGCTCAAGTCCTCACCACTTGGCCACTAGAGCTCCCTGGAGCAGAGGCTGGTGGGACTGTGATTTAGCCTGGGGCAGAAGAGCCACCAAGCTCATTTAGATGTACTGCATTCTGCCTGAGCTCTCTGCTCCCCCTCACCTCACGACATCCAGGGGTTTCGTTCAGGTCAAGGAGGAGCTCACAGTTGGAGTTCAGGACCACTCAGCGTCTGGTGATAACAGGCCCCACAAGCATGGATAAGGAGGTCAAGCAAGAGTGGCAACTCAGACAGCCAAGAGGCAGACTGATAGGGTCTGTCTGAGCAGCACTTTACAAGAACAATACCTCCCAGGTCACCTGCAGGGCCGTGAGACTTTCACTGATGGTCATTTGAAGAATCCTGCCCAGCCTTCTCTGGCCTTTTCATTCCCTGATGAGACTGAGAGTCTCTTCCACTCCTTCCCCAAAGCCAAGGCAGTCAGCTCTGAGCAAAGGTAGCCACAGGTAGACCCTGGCCTGCTGCCATCCCCAGGTCGTGCTTTGTTCTGTCTCTCAAAGTCTGAGTCTGGGTTCCCAATGGGATGAGGCAACAGAGACCTCTGGCTTCTCTAGCAGAGTCAACCTTGCCACGTCCTTGATGACCAGACCTGCAGCATGACTGATGGCCAAGTAGACCTCCTCGCTGTATGTTAAATGACTAGCTGGGTGTATACATCTGTACATACATGCATGCATGGATGAATGGATGACAGATAAGATGAAGGAGTGTGTGGAGGGCAGATGGGTGGAAAGGTGGATGGACGGTGGGGCTGGTGAGTGGATTAGCTGAAGAATTGATGGTGAGTGGGTAGATGGATGGTTGTATAGAGGGTAGATGAATGGAAAGATAGATGGTGGGTGGGTGGGTGGGTGGATGGATGGATGGATGGATGGATGGTGGGTGAATGGATGGACGGACAGATGAATGGATGGATGGTGGGTTGGTGGATGGATGGGTGGAGGGGTGGATGGATGAATGGATGTATGTATGGATGGATGGTGGGTGGGTGCGTGGGTGGATGGACGGATGGATAGTTGGTGGATGGGTGGATGGATGTGTAGATAGAAGAGTGTATAGAGTGTGAGCTCTGGTGGCTTAATGATAAGAAGCTGCACTGCAATCCCAAAGGCACACAGTTCGAAGCCACCAGCTCTGTGGGAGAAGGACAGACAACCCCCTCTCATGCAGTTAACTGCCTTTGAAAACCCACTAGAGGGTCAGCTGTGGGTCAGTTATGACTCTATGGTGCATAACAACAACAACATAAAGGGTAGATGAAGGATGGATGGATGGTGGGTGAGTGGATGAGGAGTGGATGGTTGGATGAGTGGAAGGATGAGTGTATAGAGGGTAGATGAATGGACAGATGGACAGATGGGTGGGTGAGTGTGAGTGGATGGTCAGTAGACAGATGGGTAAGTAAGCAGGTGAGTGCATGAGTGGGTGGGTAAATGGATGATGTATATAGAGGATGGGTGGATGAACGGTGGGTGGGTAGATGGATGAATGTATGGATAGATGAATGGTGATGGGTAGGTGGGTGAGTGTAAAGAGGGTGGGTGGATGAATGGTGGGTGGGTGAGTAGATGGAGGATAGACAAACGGAAGGGTGAATGATGATGGGTGGGGGGTGAATGAGTAGGTGCATGATGGATAGGTAGGTGTAGGTGAGTGGTTGGGTCTCCTCTCCCTAAGAGATTAGAGCCATTTCAAGCATATCAACTAACTTCCCATCTCCCACCACCAGATCATGTGTCCTGGGACCTGGAAAGCCACACTATTCCCTCAAGGTAAGCTCAGACCCAGCTCTGGACAAAGGACATTTCCTTTAAAAACCCTTTGGAATTTAGAGACCGTGTAGAGGGTCCCTGTTCCTGGCTAAGGCTTCTGGCAAGGGGTGGCAGGGGTGGGAAGACGACTCTCGTCCAACCAGGGCATTTCCTGGAGCAAAAGAGCCCAAACCTCCCATGGGCCCAGCTTCAAAGAGGACTTTCCCGAAAGTGTCCCCAGCGCACTGCCCACTACCTGACTTCAAAGAGGACCAGGAATTTGGGTCTATTTCCCCTCCCAGCAAATGGGCCTGAATCGCGCAGTAACTGCCCGCACACAGTCCTCACAGCGTCGGCGAGGTTACGATGTGGCTGCAAACCCTCTTATTGCCCAAGGAGGTATCAGCTGAATTGCACGTAATAACTGGTAGAACACAGCAAATTTCCTAGTTGTATATATTTTGCTCCTTGTAGTCCAACCCCTCCACCCCTTGGAGGGGACACAGCCAACGCCCAGGGACTCACACGACCCTCTTTGCACAGAGGCCCCGGCTGAGCCCCAGACCCAGCAGTAAGATTGTGTGAGGCTGGCATGCGGGCACATTCACGCCTCCCTTCCCTTCCTCAGGAGAACGGGCTGCCTGCCCCATAGCTGGCCGCCCTCCTCTTCTCAAGCCCAGGAAAGCCCTGGCTGACTTGAGGGAAGAGATTTAAGCCAACCAGCACTCTCACATCACCTCAGGTTTCCTTTGGCCAGTCTACTTCTGGAGTCTGGAGGGCAGCCCTTCCTGTGTCCCGGGGAGCACAGTCTAGCCTGGCAGCACGTGAGATGAGAGTATGGACTTGTCTCACACACACACACACACACACACACACACACACACACACACTCTGCCTCCTCCAGGGCCCTGTCCAAGTGCCTCAGCTCGAAGCATGGATGTGAGTCACAGTGTCTGCAATGCTGGTCCCAGCTCGACCCTGCACAGCCCCTGCAGCTTCCCTGTCCCCTCTGTCCCCACCCCTGCAGCAAGGCCACCTCCCCAATGTCCACAGGGACAGGACAAAGGCCTGAACTCACAGAGGCGTAGAGGCGCCCTCTCCTATTCATGGCCAGGTAGCGCCCAGAGAAAAGCCCCCGGATGGCCACGACGCCCACCTCCACGGCTGTGAGCTCCAGGATGCCTGTGAAGGGAGAGTCGGGGAAAAGCTCACTCGTCCTGCCCCTGCACCCCCACTCGCCCCAGGCCGCACCCCACTCGCGGTTCAAACCCGCCCGCTGCTCCATGGGAGAAGGAGGGGCCATCTCCTCTCATTCAATTGACTGCCTCTGAGAACCCGTTGGAGGCTCAGCTGTGGGTTGGTTCCGGCACTATGGCACACAACAACAACAACAACCACCACCACGGCGCACTGGTGAAAACGGGAGTTCTAGTGGCCTAGTGGTAAGAAGCTGCGCTGCAATCCCAAAGGCATGTGGTTCGAATGCTCCACGGGAGAAGCATGCGCAATCTCCTCTCATGTGATTGACTGCCTCTGAAAACCCGCTGGAGGGTGAGCTAAAGGCCGGTTCTGACTTGACCACACAGCAACACTGAAAACGCTCAGTTGCTAACAAAAGGTCGGCAGTTCGGAGGAGGACGCATCGACTCCTATGGCCACTGCAGCCTTGGAAGCAGCCTTCTCTATGAGCTTTGTTCTTCACTCCAAGTTGAAAGGACTCCACCACAGCCAGCTTGGTTTTGTAGGTGGAGTCTCTCCCCCCACATGTGGCTTCGCCACCAGAGACGCTTGGTGCCTCGGGCTGAAATTCACCTCCAGAGGCCCATTCTGGAGTCTGAGCTTCAGGGTTCCCAGGTCAAAGGTTATCTGATAATAAATCCACTTGGTCACCACCCAGCTGTACCAGGCACTGGCCCGGCAGCTGTCCCTCTGGACACTGGTTGGCACTTGTGGCGTCCCAGGCTCACACAGGGACAGGTCACCCCTGCATTGGGCAGGACTTGCTGGCTTCAATGAAACCCCATCTTCCTGCGTCCCTTCTGGGCACAGAGCTCTCACTTTCTGAGGTTAGTAAGACCGGACAGGGCCATTGTCACAGGAGAGGTGCTCAGAAGGAACTGGGGGTGGGGGGCGTCCACCCCGCCCTGGCAGGAGACACCTCGTGGCGAGCTCCTGCTTTCAGCGCTTCTGAGAGGGCAGGCCCTAGTGCAGGGCTGCGGAAACCATCAGGGTGTGCTTGGGGAGGCAGACTGCGGGTCTCTCGCGCCAGTGCACAGAGCTGGGCTGGAGGACTGTGCGGCTGTCGCCTGAGGCTTCAGAAACTGCGCCCTTGGTTTCTGGGCCTCGCTTCACTTTCTGCAACCTATCCGTATTTCACCAAGGCGTTTGGACTCCCAGTGGAACCTGCAGCTCTCAGTGGGTCCCGGCTTTGGAGAGAGCGGGTGAGGGCACGCTGCAGGAGGGAACTTCCGGGAGACAATTAGTCCCCGCAGCTTGGGGCGTCGCCCGGGACTCCCCAAACACACCAGCGCAGCGCTGCAGCTTTCCTCCTCAAAACCACGGCTTCCGCCTCCCCTTGAAAGTGCTGCATCGCTTCCTGCGCCCAAAGCGCTGCATGTAACGGCAAAGGAGCCCAGTAGCCCAGGCCGCAATCCCGTGGTCCTCGTCCCGACCCTACCCGGCTGGGCTCGGTTCTCAAGCTTCCACGGAGCTGTGCTGCGTCCGGCGCCTGACGGTGCGCCCCGAGGCGAAGGCAGCCTCGAGGACGCAGCCTGGCTCCGTCCGAGTGAGAACGCGAAGATGCACGGACTGTGGCTGCCCACCCGGCCTGCAGGGTGGGGTGTCTCTGTGCCCCTAGTCTGAGGCAAAGCCCTATTCTTTCCTTTTCCTATCACCCTAACTCCTCACCCGGGATGCCCACTCTGCCTTTCGCTCAGCCGCCAAGGGCTGCGTCCGGAGAGGTGCTGACAGGAGGGTGGGGGGGGGGGGGGGGGGGCGGGGGGGAGCTGCCCGGTGCTGCGGCCACTGCCCTGGAGCCCAGAGCTGCCGGGCCTGCGAGTTCTGTGCAGAGACCTGGGCTGCCGCGAGCGGGACGGGCAGAGGGGACGGCTGGGCGCCCCGGGGTCGCCAGGAGGAGGAGACGTAGTAAAAAAAAATAAAGAGGATGATGAATGTCTTGTCCGGAGCCCTTTTTTTTCCCCGGCAAACTCAAAGGCTCACTTTTGTCCAAACCGTGGAACCCGGTGGAGCGAGAGCCCAGGCCACCTCCCGCGCGCCCCTCTGGTCACCACAAGGCACACTGTTCCCTCCGGTGCACCTCTGTGGCCACCACAAGGCACCCTCTTGCCTCCATCTCGCCTCAGGCACGAGGCCAGCCTGCCACCACAGTGCACAGCAGCTGAGTCCCTAGAACTGAGTCCCTACTCCCCTCCGACCAGAAGGCGCGCTGGTCTCGAAGAAGAGGGGAGACTAGGCGGCCGCTGGCATCTCCTGCGAAAAGCCTTTCCCTGGGGCACCCTCCTGGGGAGCCCCTCTGGGTGGGCACCCACCGCGGGACCCCGCGGGCCGGCACTCACTGTACGCGCTGTCCTCCAGGCTGCCGTTGACGCGGCCGCTCGGGTGCAGCTGCAGGTGGTACTTGGTGGCGCAGTAGAGCTTGCGGCGCCGGGGCGCCCCTCCGAGGTGCTCGTAGACGCCCCCGCGGCCGCCCGCATCACGCCGCAGCCGCGCTCCGGTGTCCGCCGCGGGCCAGCCGGGCTCCAGCAGGCTCAGCAGCAGGAGCCAGATCAGGGCC